TGAATTAATTTGAATGCCTTGTTAATAAGGAAGGCTTTCCCTAAATATGATATAATCATTTTGATCTATGAGTTGAATTTAGTCTTGAGTATTTCAACTGTGTGTTATGAATTTGAAATTAAGTCCTGTACCAGATTAGTTTGGTAACGTATTTTACCCAATTGATGTAGTCTTGTTTATACTACAGTCACTGGGTGATTGAAATGTTTTTTTTTTCCTATTTTTTTTCCTATTTTCCTATTTGAATATATATTGTTGTATTAAATATTACACATAATGCTTGTGCATTTAAAGTTCTTTTTCGTAACACTGACACATTTTAATTATCAGGTTTAAATCTTAATTCATTTTGTTGAGGTTCTGTGTATGAACAAGCTGATTGTGATTTGTGCCACTGTATTTTAATTTCTGAACAGTTTCTACGTATTTTGAATTAAACTAAGCATATTGTCATATAATTTTTTCAACATAACCTAGAAATTATCAAGTAAGTGATATAGTCACTACATACTGTTGCATTTTTCTGTGCTATAACTTTATGACTACAAATGTTTAGTCTACAAAGAATGTATTTCACTCTACTTTTGAGATGTACACAAAATTTGTCTCGCACATGATCCTGCCCTACTAGCATTGTACTTTGTAAATTTTGTTGCACAAAATTTTATTTGAAGGGGGGACGTGTCACAGACTGTATTATTGGGTATGTTTATTATATTGTGTGTTACACGAAGTTGCATGAATGTAGAGTACCTGGCTAACAGAAGGACTGTCTGAGCGACTCGTCATGTATTTTTCCATGCTTTTGTGAGATCGCTCATTGATGTAAGGGGAGAGTTGTAACAGTTAAATGTAGATGAATGTATGTTTCGAGTGTGTATCTTAAAAAGGCGATATGAATATAAAATATAGGATGGGTGTGCGCATGCGCTAAGGAAAGGAAGCAGAGAGAGGTAGAAAGAGCGCGAGGAGATGACGAAACTGAAGTCGTGGTTCAAGTAGTGTAGCTGCTATATTATCTGATATCAATAAAAGACTGTAAAATCACCAATAATGTGGTTTGTATTTGCCTTTAGTTTGTGCCATGAATCCAGTCATAAAAAAAATTCATAAAAAACGTTTTAATAACAAGCTTTTATGTAATGATGCACTAAAAAGTAGAAAATAAATTATAGACTACTATTTAAATAACTATAAAGAAAAGCGTGGGTCACTTTAGTATCTATTGGATACCTTTACTAATGTTAAGGAAGACACCCACGCTTTTCTTTATAGTTATTTAAATAGTAGTCTATAATTTATTTTCTAGTTTTTAGTGCATCATTACATAAAAGCTTGTTATTAAAACGTTTTTTATGAATTTTTTTTTCAGTACTTTACATGTTTTATCTACAATAGAGTTACATGACTAAAAACCATTGCGCGCCTTCTGAATATCACGTTCAGTAGGCGCGCAATGGTTTTTGAACGCAGCCATTACGTGGTCGTGATGGCGCAGCTATTGATGACGCGTGTGGTGTGGTTGGCTAGACATGCCTACTAATTCGGTCCAAATTTTAATTAATTCATAAAAAATCAATTAGGCATCCAATTAAGTCAAATTTAGTTTCAGATTGCATTGTCTTCATGTCTTGACCCACGTGCCAACTGTGAATCGTGTCGGTCAAGTAGAACTGTCCGAATTTTCACTCCTGCGTTTCCGTCTAGACAGACAGACAGACAGAGGAAGTGAGTTAAATAAAAGCTTGTAAAAAGGGCTGTGACAAGAGTGTTATGATGCATGTTCTGAGTGTAGATCGGTGCGAGTGAATGTTGGTGCGAAAGGTATGTTGAACGCATGGAATGATGACATGTATAGTGCGACAGTGACAAATTTGAGTAGAGACTGGTTGCTAGGAGTTTGTGTGTGAGTTAGTCGAATCTTGATCATTGGTGTGAAAGGACGTGTGCTGGTTGGCATAACTCAAGTTGAGAGATATGTTCTAGGAATATAGATACGTGAATACAGTAATAAAGATTCGTACAAGAAGTATTTAGTTCGTCTTATTTCTAAACGTCGTTGATTTGTCTGAACGTAAGACAACCTTAGTGGTTCTCAAGGTTTAGTACTCTCTCCCTGGTATTGGAGATGAGCTAAATGGTAGCTGTCTGAGTCAAGTGACTCAAACCCTCTCACTACACACCATAAGCGTAACATGGTGGAGCAAGCAAAACAACGATAGATAGCCCAACGACCGTCCTATGAAGACTCGTTTTGTCTGAAAATCCGACTGAAGTTTACCAGTGTTGTGAGGACCGGTGGAAGTATATAGGAACCAGATAATCATCGATATATGTCGTATCAGTACAGCACATTCGCTGGATAGTTCTACTATCTAAGAAACTGATGTTTCGTGTATAAACATTGATCCGGATCCTGTATCAACGTGAATTACCTCATTAGTGGAGAACTAGAATACAACGAGAAGAATCTGTGTGTCAGGACGTATTGAACAAATCAAGGGGATCTGTGTGTCTGGACGTATTGAACAAATCAAGGGGATCTGTGTGCCGGGACATATTGGAGAATCAAGGGGATCTGTTTGTCGGGACCAGTGTGTGAATTCGTTAATTAAGATAAGTACCACCATTTTTTAAATTCAATAAGCACATTTGTGGTAGGTTCATATTATTATAATAACTGATCCAGAAGTTGCCAGAGTGTATAGATCTAGATTTGGCATACTCTGGTGTACCAGGATTGTAGCTGACCTGGCTGAAAATAATTGTTCAAAAGAAACAAAAATGAGTGCCGAGCAAACAAAGAAGCTGCGTGAATTGGGGCAAAGTTTAGATTATAGGGGTGAAGAACTAGAAACATGGGTAAGGGAACAATCAAGGTTGCTAGAAAAATTATCCCTGATTCCCACTGAATTGGAAGCTTCAAAATTAGAAGTAGAGAAGGCTAAAACTCAAACTGCAGATCTAGATAGAATGAGATTACAGGCTGAGGAACAAATGAAACTAAATGTAGCAAGGGTCATAACGCAGGTTGAAGAACAGGCTAGAGTAAGTATGGAACAAATGAAATTAGATTACCAAGCAAAACTGAAATCGGCCCAATCAGCAATTACTAAGACCGCAATTAACATAAGCGTAACAGAGAGAATGGAGTGTATAAAAGGGGGAGCGCAAGGTGAACGAAGGATGCCTGCCTGTGACATAAGATGTCACCACGTCAGTTTGTTCTAGACTTAAATGTAATAGTCATTTTCCTACTGTGAAATATCGCTATTATTCCTTATGGATCTATGTAAATAAAGTTTGAAGTTACTGTGGATCGTATTCTTGGATGAACGAACCCACAATAACAACAGTATCTTCCTATCAACAATATTACTGTTGTTACAGTGCACTACCAGAGCAATGATTGACATCTAATGGACAAGAAAATTTACTATACTGGTACAGTGCAGATCAACAGAGCCTTAAAACTTATAAAGCTTCAGCATATGGAAAGCCGGTACTGGATGCATGAGGACAAAATCCTTTGTGTTACATAGAAGGACAAATAGGCAAAAAAATCTGTCATAATGGCTTCAACTAAAGCCATAGAGTAGATAATGCAACAACACAAAATGACACGGTAAAGCCTGCAGTCATTCATGAATACAATTTCAATATGAATGGCGGCGGTCGGGCTGATCAAATGATCGGCTACTATGGTGTCCACAATAGGAAAACAAGAAAATGGTGGAAAAAAATTTACTACTGGATCCTTGAAGTGACCACAGTCAATGCTTACATTCTACATCGTCTGACAAGGCCACCTTCTGCTGACATAAAAAGGCACGACAAAACTTTTAAAAGTTTCAAATTCCGCCTGGTTGACGAACTGTGTTGAAATGCCTCCCTTCTCATGCGTGACCCAACTACTAGGATTTTTGCTAAGCCAGGACGGCCAAGACAAGGCAATCCTCTTAAAGGTTTAGAAGGGGCCAAACACTGTGAAGTTCACACTGACAAAGACAGAAGATGTGATGTGTGCAGTACACCTAAAAATATTAAGGTGTAATTTTATTTGTAAGAGCTGTGAAGGTCATCCACATTTACATCCAAAACACTGTTTTGAAATTTGGCACACTAAAGCAGATTTGTAAATAACTCAGAACTTGTGAATATTTGTGTATATAGTTCTATATGGTGTCTATTATGATTTCAAACTGTTAGATTGAAATTTCTTCTTTTTTGTTTGTTTTTGGTGTGCTATTTTCAAATGGCCATTACTAAAAAAAGTACTTCAATTTTCCTTCTAAGACTTGTTTTATTTTGAGAAATGGATATTCTCTTTAGATTTAGCAGTCATTTGTGAAAATATTTCTCACAAAACATTGTTATTTTTTTATAAGTGACTTTTTTCATTGAAAAATTTTGACAACAAATTTTCACCCCCTATCAAAATGCAATATTTTTTTTTTACTGTAATAAATTATTATTTATATTTTATTTCTACTTGTAGTATGTTCATTTCCCTACAATATTTTATAATACATGAATATGTTCCAAATTATATCTTGGAAGTAATAATACTTATAATGAAGTGTGTGTGATAAGAAATGGCAAACAAAAAAATAATTCCGGTGAAACGCGAAAATAATTCCTGTCTTAACCATTAATGTCCCGTAACGCCCGCTGCCGCCCGACACCGTTAATGTCCCGTAACGCCCGCTGCCGCCCGCTTACAATACGCATAGAAAAATTAAATTTGTTTCATTAAAATTTGGCCTACAAATCCTAATTTTTAACTAAACAGGAAGTCAGATAGTTTAAGCATCCTTTTCCGGTCTTGTAATTTCAATGGCGCTTTTGAAAGATAAAAAATAATAGTTTCTTTCTATCTCGAAATTTTAGACTCATCTGTCCTATTTTTAGTAGATTTAATATTAAAAATAAAATAAAATAATGCCTCTAAGCGTATCTAGGCATGTATTTTATGAATTATATATCTTAAACACAACCAAATTGATATTTAACTGTTAAATTCGATGCATAGTTGTTTAGACAAAAATAAATAAAGTTGACTACCGAAAATGACCTGTTTTGAATTTTCTCCGACATTTTTTATTTTTATACTGTACTTTTACCGAATATAATATATTCTATTTAATACTGTTGGAAAGCCAGGTTTATTCCCAACATTAAGCAGTAGTTTTTATCTTAATTTTCAATTTCATTTAGAAAAAAACAAATATTTTGTGAAACTATTCACTTGATCATACAGAGTTATGCTCCTTACATTGGGCCGTCATGGGTGGAGTTTTGGTAGAATGAATGGGACATTAATGGTTAAAGAGTTAAGGTTCTATATCTTATAGCTCAAAGCAGTACAAAAATATCATGCACAAACTAAACTAAAGCAGATGTCACATGCTAATTAGTAATTATTGATAAGTAGTTTGAAGTCCAACAGAGGCAAGCACAAATTAAACAAAGGAGTTGTGCCTGGTGGCTGTTTTAACTACACATTTTAGAAATAAAGGAGTTTCAATTCTTTTATGCTTACATTTATACAAATCACATACTTCAGGTGATACACAATCAGTGCCAGTCTTTGGTGCTTAAAAAAGAAAATATAACTGACCAATTGATAGAGCAAGGGGTTGAGTCCAGATATAAGGTTATATAAACGATGAAATCAGAGGTCTCTACAGGTTATTGAATGTCACTTTGTGACCCCTGAATGTGACCCCTCCTATCACATAAAGGCACTGTATCAGTAAAACTATCCGAAACAATGACAAATATTTTTTCAAGGTTTCAAGTAAAAACTATGAAACTTTCAATATTTAACACACCTAAACTAAGAAAGACAATAAAAACTGATCTGTAAGTACATATCAAACTGTTTGTCAGCTGTCCTCCTGCTTTACTTTGCTAAGTACACACAGAGTGACTCCAGTTGCAACAAGGAACATTCCAACAAATGTCTCTGAAAATATCACAATAATGTTATCATTGTAAATAAACAAACTTAATTAGAAGAAAAAATTAATGAAAACAATGACCCATTTCTCAGTCCAATTATTCCAAAATAAAGCAGTTAGATTAACAACAGAACAGTGGGTTAATTTAAGAAAATTAAAAAGTTAAATGTTCATAAAGACTGTGACTTTTAAGTGTAGTTGTGAGTTGTGATTTAACTGAAAGTACTGGTGAAATATTTACAGGATATAATTTAGAATTTACCCTTCAAAGACAAAATTAGTGTTTAAAAAAGAAGAGTTTAAACAGCTGAAATAAAAGTGTGATAAAACTTACTATATGTCAGTCTTTGGTCACCCAACATGCGGGCGGACATGGCAGTGGTGATAAGTGTCAGGGAGTTGGTCACTGGCACTGCCAGCGTCAAATCTACGAGAGTGGACAAACCTTTTTAATCAGGTACTAGTAAAAGTTTTTTCTTATCAGCAATACAGGCAGATTCAACTTTCAGAATCTGGTACAAAATTGTATAATTGCAAGCTACACTTCTACAAGCTAAGGAAACATGTATGCAGGTTGCAATTGGAACCAAAACTCACCTGCAGATGCCAGGGTAACATAATACACAACTGATCCAAGCTGGTTACACAAAAAGGACAACAGGTACTGAAACAGATTGGATTTTTTAATATTCATTAGTTAATTCAGAAAGCTAGGGAAGTCACTAGTCATGCACACAATTTTAATCTGGCATGTCTAGAGTTGGGTCCCTTCATTAAAAACTGGTATGGCCTAGAGTTGACTCATGCATGACCCAGACATTTACCTGACTAGGGGAAGTAAACAATGACTGGTCTATGTCATGACCGCTATAATCTTTAATATAAATATTTACAGAAGAAAATCCATTCTATTTCACCTTTACCTGCCAGGGTCACTGGATGTGAATCAAAAATCTATAGAGCATAATAAATTTTATGCTTCCAGACAACTCACTGGGTATATGATTCACCTAATTAACAAGGTTAGCCATACCATCACTGTCTAACACAAGACAGAATGAGAGACACATCTAGCACCTCAAATGATTACACTAAAATCCCAGTTAGCCTGAGACAAGGGATATCTAGCAAGGGGTGGCTTTATGGTTACTGGTGGGTCATTTTTTATTACACTAATTTCAACTGCTGTAAAAACTATTGTACCTATTTGAAAATCAAAAAATTTAAATAGGGGCCTATATATATTTTCTTTACATTCGTTAGTCATAATTTACTTAAGTGAATGAAAACATAATTATACAGAATTTATTAATTGAAAATGTTATTACAAAAGAGAACTTTTTTTTTCAATACTTTAATCTTACACAGACCATTTTCTACTTGTGGTTTTATGTCAGAGGGAAAATGTTTTTTAAAAGAATCATGATATGTTATGTGACCTATAGGATTATAAATTAATGAATGGCTTTTTGTGGTTCTGCTTACATGAAACAATAAACAGAAGTTTTTGTGGTTCTGCTTACATGAAACAATAAACAGAAGTTTTTGTGGTTCTGCTTACATGAAACAATAAACAGAAGTTTTTGTGGTTCTGCTTACATGAAACAATAAACAGAAGTTTTTGTGGTTCTGCTTACATGAAACAATAAACAGAAGTGTATCTTCCCAAAGGTAAAATACATAATATAATAATAAATGCAATCAATATAAAAGGGAGTTTAAAACTGAGTAAGATAAAAACAACAGAAGGTAAAACATAACATAATTTGTGATTCAACTGTGAGTGTTATTTTTGACATACCTTCCAGTTTAAAAAAAGAAATGCTATCTCAGCAACAAATTGTGAAACTCTGCCAGTTCTCTTGATGTCCTCAACTCCCTTGCTGTGTCGCTTGATCAAGGGGTTAGTTGCACCCCATAGTGTTGCCACAATCAGAAGCCAAAACGCATCACCTGGAACATTATTTCAACAACAATGAGAATTACAAAACAAATTAGACATGCACGTCAATCAGCAAGTTACAATCATGTTGGACAGCTTGGCAGAAAGATGGAAGTCAACAAGTTCAAAACTAATAACACTGATTAAATCATTATTATTAAAATTTTATAGGCCTAAGCCAACTATATTTTAAAAGCATTTAGCACGCTGTATTTTGCTTTTAATTTTATGATTCTTCCTATTATGAACCATATATTCCCAATTTGAAGCTTTAAAGAATGCAAGTCAACACTCAACAGACTTTTACATTTTGCAAACAGATAGATACACAATACTTTACACTAAACACTGGAAGTATAGGCATAGGTCTATAATGTAGATTTGAACAAAACTTTTTGCCTAAAACTAGACCTGATTTGAGATGGGTTTACAACAACAAATCTTAATATAGGCCTATCTATTGAAATTATGCTTAATGTTATCAGAAATGATTTTGCAAGATTAGACAGTTATATTCCTGAGAAACATAAGAAAAGACAGTTACGTTGAAATATTTAATTTAGAACTTTAAACACAAACTTTGTAACAGTAGTGCCATTTTGAGAGGTCAGCGTGGTTAGGTCAGCCAAGCTAGAGGTTGCTGGACTAAAACGTCCAGAGTTTGGGGGATGTTGGTATAAGTGTGAGACGCATAACGTGAAATGGTGAGGTGGTAAATTGCGAGAGTGTTGTATGTTGTTTATCGTGAGTGTTGTATGTTGTTCTGTTTTTTTTTTTTTATCTAGAGATCTTGTTTAAATTTTATCATTGATGCTCCTAAGATTGCCCATCTCAAACGACTGGTCAATGTGGGTTCACAAACAGAATATTAAGACTTTTTTTCAAAATCTATACCTTACATCTTCTAGTCTGTGTGAGAAAAATACCACCATTTAATGGGTTACAGTCAGAGCATATAAAAAATTTAACATGTGTCATAGCTGAGCAGGAGCAATATGACAATGCTTGAGGTTATGTGAGTTCATGGGCCATTTATCTTGCCAGTGGGAGAAATAGTCAGGTACATGGTTCATGTTTGGCCAATCATTTCTGACTTAAACACTTTGTATTGCTGTACTTTTAAGAGTAGATGTTTAAATAAACAATTTTAATTATCAACATTTTTAAAAATCAACAGAAATTATATTTAGGCCTATAGGATTAAAAAAATAAATAGTAGGTGGTGGTAATAATGCAAATATTTTAAAAATCTATATCTAGATATTACAAATTTTAAATATTCTGACGTTTTCTAATCTGCGTGAGAAAAAAAAACCCCGTTTGAGGGGGTGGGTATACATTTTGAACCGTCCCACTTTTACTCATTAAATCTACACCAAGACTTAATAAACACGACCTTAATATCATACTGCCTTGTTTTTTCAAGGGGAAACGTCATTCAAGGTCAATACCTCGGTGAATTATTTTTCGCTCGGTTTCGAAGAGTATATAGCCGTCCCTCTTCTTCTGCACCGCATTTTTAAAAAAATTACTAACATTGTCAAGGTAAAAATTGTAACGTTTGATTCAAGAAAGAGAGCGGGTGGTATTGAAACAACGCAGCTGTTTCTGTAATAGTAAAAATAAATTGTACAGGAAATTTGTAATCTCATTAGGCCTACTTATGAATTAGTTATTATGAATTAATTTAAATCGCTAAAGAAAATAAAGGGATAAGTGCTATAGTTTATATATTTAGTTTATTAGTTTAAATGTATTATGGCACAACACTATGCGTGTGGTATGTGGCCTGACCTATTAAAGATATATTATTGTTTTGAGTTTATATTTAGGGCCTAACTCAATGTAACATTGAGCGGTTGAGGCTCACCAGGGGTGTGGGGTTATTCTGCTAAGCAATAAAACAAAAATTTCTATGCAACAATACACTATTTGTTTGTGGCGGCAGGTGGCCTCGGTGTTCTACACAAAAGAAATCTAAGTTAGCGGTATTTCAAACAAGGTGAAAGGTTGTATACTAAATCTACACAAAAGATGGTGGTAATATCACGATATAGTGTCAGTTATTATTCCGGAAATGTGCAGCAGTAAAAAAACAGTAAAACCATGGCGTAGTCTGTCAAGCCGTTCCGGAAACCACCAGAAATACTGTAAGTGTAAACCATCATTTATTTGCCGCCATATTATTTTTAATACATAATGTTGAAAAATGCGCAAGGATTGATTTTAGTTGCAATTTAAATACTGTTTTACTAATTATTTTGTATTTCTAATTATTTTAAGTGTATGTGCTAATTATTTCTGCTACTAAACATTATTCTAGTTCTTCTTACTACTTTTAACTTTAATAATTCTAATCGTCTTATTTTACTAACAGACCTAGAGCTGGTTGTCGCAAATCTTCTGCAGCTTTTTTCTGTGTTTCTTAAAAAAAAAACATTAATTACTACACTCGACTTTATTAATAATATTTAGATTTACTAATTAATGCTAATTTTTTGTCAGTTAAACATTAAATTAAGTTAAAACATTAATTTAATGCACTTGACTTTATTTTTCTTTCAACGGTCAAATAAACTATGGTTTACAGTAACCAACCAATGTTACCGAAACTCAACGAACATTATCCAATAATTTCCAACGCTTATCGTGATTTTACCAAGATGGTTAAGTTGACAAATCATCAGAATGTCTAGCGACAGAAAAATCGGAAGTTTTAACTTTAACCATGTAAACGACAAAAAAAAGTCTTATAAGTCTGCATCAATAAATATTGATCGTTGCAGTAAAATTTTCACAGATAGCTTTGCATCCGACTACCACCATGCGTAAGTATCGGGTGGTTGTAAAATCGAGGCAAAAATATCACGTGACCGACGGTTTTCGCGCCCTTCTCGCAGTTTACCGCCTCGCCATTTCTCTATTTCCCAACACCCAGATCTAGTTCTAGGCCTATCTAACTAATTTAACTAAATTTTAGTTCGTATGATACTGATTTTACGGTAACTGTATCTTTATTAGGTAATCTATCGCTTTAGCGTAATCAATTCGGCCGTCACTAGTAATGTAGGGATAAGGTAACTAATAAATATGGCTTAAATATGGATATATTTTTGCATATTTTACTAAAATACTAAAGATAATTGAATATTAAACCACATTTAAGGTTTAAATCAATAAAAATGTCAGGAAATTTGAAGTTTAATAACGATGTTACAGATACTAAATTTGCTATTAAAAACAGCGGCCATCTTAAGAAAATATTATTTTGAGTCATTTCCCTTTAATTTCTATTTGTATGGAAATGTATTGATGTTTGCTGTTAAATAGGTTGGTCTTGTGTTTAAATACAAAGCATGCGTTTTTTTTTAAAATTCTGCCCTTTAAACAATTTAATTGACTGACAATAAACATCAGTTCTATAATTATTATTATGAGATGCAATTTGTATACATTAAGATACTCCCTATTTTTATAGAGCTACCACTACATATCTAATGTTTATTTAAATATTAGTTTGAGTTCATTCTTATTGTTTGTGTTATTGTTTGTTTCCTTTAATATTTTCATGCTTTTTTCCTTTAATTAGTGATTTAATCACAAATGACGTCCCGTTTTTGATCTCTCTTCACCTTAACCCCCCCCCCCCCCCCACCCCCATTTTTGCCGTCACGAAATAGTCGTAATGTCGAAAATTACCTTTTTGCCCTGTCTATTAAAAAGTCAAGCCATAATTCTAATGAAAAATATTTTTAGCATTTTTGTATTAGGCGAAATACATAACGTTTCCCGTTTCTTACCCCTCCCACTTCCCGCGTAAAACGTCGTCTCAAAACCAGTTACTCCACCCCTTAAGTGTGCGATGTCATTTAGGGTAGATGTCAAGTCCTATATACATTTTGAATAACCTTTGTTGTCAAAATGTTGATACCAAATACTCAAAATGAGTTATATGGGGTTGCCCATAAACGATGTCACATATGCAATGCTAATGTGACGTCAACTTACGCAGGGTGGTCGGGGGGGGGATGCGTGACGTCTATTTTGGAATCTTCTATAAAGCTGTGCTCAGTGAAAATGAGGAACATAAAGCGTTCGTTTTCATGCATACATTTGTTCATAACTATTGCATGCCTGTTATACTAAACGGTGTTAAACAACCTCAGCACATCATCCCCGCCAAAAAGGGCCTGCCACTAAATGCCTACCGACGAAAATAGGCCGCTTTATATTTACTCCAAATGAAATAACTTCTGACAACAAGGCTCAAACCAAGTAGCTCCTGTCAACAATATTCGACAAGTATTGACTAGCAGGTAAAATGGGACAAATCGAAAATTGAAAGTTTGTCGCCTCTGGGGGGGTGACACCATTAAGTGCCGCACCGGGTGACACTCGACCTCGCTACGCCACTGAGCTAATGTAAAGCCACAGCTCAGTATAGGCTTGAATTTAACATAAAATAGTGTTAGCAGTGGACAGCCTCTAAGACTGTGCATTAGGAGTACGGCCGTCGGCAAAACGCCAGAGTCCGACGATATCTGAACATCAATTTTGTCTTTTATGAAGTGCGGAGCACCTTTAAGACCTGAGCTTGGCCCCTGTTGACACCACCACTAGCGCCGCTTATGTCCACATATTAATCACACGTTTTGCGTGGAGCTTAATGGACAGACGTTTATAGGTGGGACCGGGAGCCTAAATGCATTTACCGAAGCCGCTGTGTCACGGGCATTTTAGAGCCGAACGTCTCAGGGCAACAGGTTGCAGAAATTAAAAGCACGTGAATTTGTATAGTAGAGGGAGAACATCATGCCACTGTAATAAATTAAACACCAATATAATTCACCGAACTAAAGTTATTTAGATCTATTCGTCAGGCTAAACGTCGTTAAAGTCTCATCGCCATAGTGATTTAGGGCCTGTTTTGATTTTCTTTTAATTACGCGGTATCTTTCTTAAACATTAGCGTAATGACAAATGACGTCACGCGCGCCGCGAACTTTGTGAC